CCCCAAAACCCCAAAACCCCAAAACCCCTCTAAACTACTAAATTATTGTAAAGATATTTAAAATTACGAGAAAATGCTAATCCGTGATTCCTGGCTTCCCTTTGAAGACCTAGGGGTCTCATCAGCACTCATGAACTCAAGGATATCATAATACTCGTCTTTTAAGCCGGATTTAGCGTTTTTAGGGTCGAATAAGGGCTTCCTGGTCCTCTTCCGTCTTCTCTTAGGACTCTTCTTTGGAGAATCTGGCAGATCACATACTGGAAGTTGAGAGTCATAGTCGAAAGAATCATAGTTAAACGTGGAATCGGAAATCAAAGGATCAGCAGAGCCTTGGTTGTGTTGAGAAGAAGATGAGAAAATATCTAAAGAGTCTTGGCTTAGTAGCACACCTTCTGAACAATTATCAAAGATCTCTTTTTCAGTCTGTTTTTTAGTTGAGGCTGAGTAAAGAGTCCCTACTTCTGATTTGATACCAAGGGAGATAGAGTCGGTATCCCAATCGGTCCCTGTTCCTTTGTTAGAAATGCCTTTTAATGTTTCATCAAGCTTGGGCCAACTTACTCTTCTGCCTTCTTTGAGGTCTAAATAAGGGTAATCTGCTGGCATTGTCCTGGCAGAGTAATTATCTTCATTCTTTATACCCATCTTTTCCATTTTTATGTCCAATTTTAGTGGATTTAGGTTCATAAAGTTCTGCATTTGGTCATCTTTGAGGATACTGTCTAGATTAGTACATGGGCAAGAGTTATCAAAGGGACGAATAGCTTCAAACCAGAAATCTCAATACTTAGCTCGGAACTTGAGAAGATCTTCGATGGCTCTTTTGGTCCACATTTTATAGTCAAAGCTGTCAAGCCTCTGTCGTTTGCTAAGTTTCTCATAATACCCTGCATTTTTGAAGATGAGCTTGGTGTATTTCTTGAAGGTTGATCTCATTCCTTCAACAGGTCTCTCAGGGATAGCATTGATCACCTCACTATAGGTCCATATTTTCTTGCCAAAAGGCCTTTCGAACTCCATTATTTTGCCCATTTTGACGATTTCAGTGATGGTGTACCTTCTTCTTTCATCAATTTTATATACTTGTCGTGCGCCTTTCAGCATGGCCACTACGTAATCATTTGGGTTCCTAGAATCTTCTTCTGTCTGCAGAGGGAATTTCCCTGAATTTATCGAGTCTATTAGGAGCCTGTGTGAGTAAACCCTCCCATTGAAGTAGTGTTGTTCGAGTTGGGGATCCTCACGAAAGTCTAAGATGCTCTCTGGTGCTATTTGGAATGACCCACATGAAGCATAAGGGACTACAGCTCCTCCATTTTGGTAAATTAGTTTGATTAATTCTTGTCGATGTGGGAAGCAGTACGGTACATAAAACATCAAGCTTACTTCTCCCAAAATAGGGATTCTTTCAGTAAAAATTTTGGTTTTCTCGAGTGGTTTTTCTGGGATGTTCTCAGACATTTTAAAGGGTTTTTATTGGATTTTGATAAAGGGGGTTTACCAAAATTTGAAAGGTATTCAAAACTTGGATTTACATCAAAATAAATAAATTTTTCTATTACTCCCAAATTTAAGGGGTTTTGGGGTTTTGGGGTTTTGGGG